TATATGAAAAGCTTGACTCAGAGTTTCACTTCTTGCAGAGGGTGGTCTTTCTAACAAAAATAAGCGAAATTTAGTAGAATAATAATTTTGTAGTTTCGCAGTTAGAGTGTTCTGTACAGATTTCCTCGGTCAGGCTTAGTATTAGCAGTGTTTCTTCTAGCAAAAACTATGCGAAACTGTCAACAACAATTTAAATGTTCGCTTTTTGCCGTTCTCACAAATATCAAATACTAACCGAAACTATATACGAAAAGCTTCACTAAAATACTCGAAACAATACCCGAAACTGTATATAACATAGACATGTGATAACCACTATACCACTATTAGGCGTTAAAGCGATATAAAAATTCCATCAAATAAATGGGAATCAAAGGAATGGGGAATAAGATCTCGCATTTTGAGGGTTAATGCGCGCATATATAGTAGAGATTGGCTTAGTTCACAGCTTTTAATTATTTTAGCACCATAATTTCAAAGCACGTCGCAACAGTAATGTTGTATAGAAACGCTGAGCGCAAGGTGTTAGCACCATAGCAAAAATATCGATTTCAGGATTATATTTGGCAACTCACACTTAGGTTAAACTCTCTGCTTGAATGCATTACTTTATTTCAAGTAAAGCTTGGCTTGAATTGCAGCTTTTCTCATTTTGCCTTTCGTACAGTTTCCAGGCTTAAGGAACACACCTAGTGTAAAATTAAAAAATAATCGATGCTTTTTTCGTCGAAAAGTTATATACCTATACCACTAAAAATAACATACTAAAATTTAAACCCGGCATTTTATATAGTTCTTCGAATATCGAAATACAAGAAATTTTATGAGCCTTTGTTTTCAACTACCAACACAACTGTCAATCGAGGACATTTGCTGAGTTCGTTAAAATTTTACTGTATAAATTGAAATAAATAAACACATACATATGGCACATACAAACGCACGTTGCAGTGCTTGCTTCACAAAACGGAGTAATAAATGTCTAACTAAATAACCGCAAACTAACTCGAATGCAGTTACCAAACCACAAAATAAGCTAACAATAACAATTACAAATACAAAAGACAGCCAATAAAGCTACTTATTTAAGCGAAGCTGCCCCCTCCCTGTGGCTTACACTCCCACAGCGCCCATGTAAATCACGCACTCTTCGTACAAAACTTAAATGTCAAAAGTTTTTACCACAATTTCCGACTCGACAAACAACAGCAACAACAAGCGAAACGGTCTTAAATAGAAAAGTGTGCGCCGCTGCCAAACCAAGCGTGGAAAAATTGTTAATATTTTTTTCAAGCTTTTTGACTGACTTTCAGGGGCTGCGTTGATTTTTTCTAGTTTTGTTGCTGTTTTTGTTGTTTTTTTTTTTGCTACAAAGCACTCATGTAGTTATATTTTGCAGCAAAATATTTGGCTGTTTCGCCAGTCAGGCTGCTATTGTTTTTTTGTATTTGCCGCGGCTGCACGTCAACTTGTCACAAATTGCAGGTAATACAATGTGAAACAACAACAACAACTACTTAATGTGCTTGTACATGACAGCAAGCAATGTTTAATGCAGTGAAATGGCAACCGATGAGGTTAACCCTTCAGCCGGTCGCGCGTCAATGCATTCGTATGCGGGAGTTGTTGCTGCGCGTTGAGTGGGAGGTAGGGGGTGAGGTAGTAATGCGACTGCAGAAGACAAATGCTTGCGTGCGCGTTGCATGATTTGATTGACGGCAGCGTTGTCGTCAGTATATTTTTTGTTTTTGAAATTAATTTATATGTATGTTGTTGTTTAGCAGTAAAAAGGTAGAGGAAATAATTAATGAGCGCGCGCGAACGATTTTTTAAGCATTTTTTGTTTTGAATTTTTTTAATAAAACATTTTGGTTTATGCAGTGAGTGATATGAATTTGGAAGCGTGGTGAAAGCAAATGTCATAAAGTTTATTTTGATGAATTTAAGTAATTAGGAAGCAAGAAAGGATAAACAATAAATTAAAAATTAACCAAAATAATAATAATAATATAATAAAAAAATAAATAATAACACTGTATTAAAATTAAAAAATTATAGACAAATTTAAAAGTTAAGTTATGAATAAATTTACAAAAAAATATTTAAGAATTAAAAAAAAAAAAACTAAAGATAATAAAAAAGCTTAAAATAATAAAAAAAAAAAAATTAATTCAAAAAAAAATTGAATTTTAAAAAATATATAGAATAAACTAAGAAGAAAAATAAATTATCAAAAATTAAAAAACAAAAAATTAAAATAAAAAAAGTAATAATAATAATAAAAAAAATCTAAGTCATTTTAGTTTTGAATCGACAATAAAGAAGCTAACTAGTTTTTTCGAAATATATAAAAAAATAATTAAAAATATGTATATCGAATAAACTTAGAAGAAAAAAAAATTTAAAAAAAATGAAACCAATAAAAATTTTATATAAAACGAAACATAATAAATAAAATAAAATAATAATAATCTCACGGGAAAAAGTTTTAAGAAAAAAATTAAAGCAAAAAATGATTAGTTACTACATTAACATCACTTTTTATGAGGATCCGATGTACTATATAGGGTAAAATGTCACTACCGCACACAAAATAAAAAAAAATAAATATTATAAAAAAAGAAAATGAAAACAAGAACAAAGCGCTAACTTCGACTGTAAATCTCACATTTAAAAGTTTTCATACAAGAACTTGATTTTTTGGTTTGTATTACAGCTACATCTTATACTGACTAGATCTGAACAATTTTTTTTGAAGATTGTGCTGTTGTCTTGAGCCATAATCCGTGCTAAAATTCATGAAGATATCTTGTCAAGTAAGAAAGTTTTCCATACAAGAACTTGTTTTTGAGCGTTCAGTTTGTATGACAGCTATATGCTATAGTGGTCCGATATCGGCGGTTCCAACAAGTGAGCAGCTTCTTTGGGAAAAAAGGCCGTGTACAAAATTTCAGATCGATAAGTCAGCAATTGAGGGACTAATTCGCGTATCCAAATACTTAAATGGTCGTCACCGCCCCAAGCAGGGTGGATATATTCTTCCCCAATTGAAACTGTCTGGAGAAGATGAATGTTTCTGCAAACAAATAAATTTATACGTGTAATAGTAAAAGATCCGCGACTAGTCAACGATGAAATCTCTCGCATTATTATTAAAAATTTAAGATTCATCATATTTATTGACATATTTCAATAATAAAGAAAATTGCTATCTCCTTGCAAGCCAATTTGTGCATCCATGAAAGTGGTAGTAAACTGAAGACAACAGACAATTAGGGTGCAGCACATAGGCAGGAAGAATGATTGCACAACAAAATACAAAAGAACAAAAGCAAAAAGCAAAAAGCTGAAAAAAGGCAAAATATATAATAAGCGAAAGAAGTAGTAGGTAATAATTGCTGGTTATATGCAACAGCAGTTGCTGCAACAACAAAATGAACAACAGCTGTCAGCTGTAAATAGCAGACTACGTGACGCTTAACGCGAAATCATACATTGAAGTCGCCATTCAAGCAAGCTATCAGCCACAAAAAGCCTAACGACACGAGTATCTGCAGCCATTTACCGCCAAACCCAACGCGCGCATTAAACTTAACGAGTTAGTCAGCCAGTCAGCCAGTAAGTGGAAGTGGCAGTCAGCTTCGATGAGCTGCTGATGTTTTATGTGCCACTCAACACAGCGCGATTGCCCACCGCTAGCTGCGTTTAATGCGTTTTTACACAAACACACACACACACATTTAAACAAAAGCGTACCTAAATACAAAACAATTCATTATTATGACAATGACGACCGCGTCTATTTGGCATTTTGTGTGCTTTTGTTTGCAACTGCAATGAAAAGACAACGAGTTGCGGTTTATGTGCGCTAATGCGCATGCGCGGCACGACTTGAGCGCACAGACAGGCAGTCAGTCAAGCTGGCAGGCAGACTGCGCCACCTTCTTTGACATTTGTTTTTGTTGTTGTTGACATGCCGAGGGAAGTCGAAAGGGACGCTCACAAATGCATTTAAAATAAAAGTGTGCATACAAAAGCAACAAAAACAGCAAAGCTTTTAGCATTCCGCGTCAAATGACATTTAAAGCGCAGCGCTTATTGTTGTTTGTGCTATTTGTGAACATTTGTGTTTTTTAACTTTACTTAAATTTAAGGCAATAAACACAAGATTTCTTATTTGTTTGACATTTTTGCAGTGAAAACGCTAAAAAGTAGAAATATAAACTTCAATAAGCTTTTTAACGGTTGATTAAGTTTTTTAATATTTACTGCATATATAATTGTTGCTTTTAACTGTCTAAAGTATTTACATAAATATATTTTTCAATACATCGAAGCATTTTTTAGACTTTTTAAAGTTTAAAAGCTACATTTATAAAGAGCTTTGCTTGAATAGCGAACTTTTCTCTGAAACTTTTTTTAATTTTGTTTGTCGAAATTCGGTCTGCAAAGACCTAAGGAAGACAAGAAGCATTAGAGATTGCAAAATATGTATGACATTTCGAGAAATTGTTTTGGATATTCATAAATTACTATTTAATTTTTTGCGAAATAATTATATTGGAAAAAGTCACAAAGAGCCTAATGAGTTTAGAAAGCTCTAGAAAGTTTTTGAAAATATCTCTATTAACATCATATATTTTCAAATTTTTCAAAATTTTCAAATTTTGTTATAATAGTTTAATGAGCTTTTAAAGCTCTAAAAAAAGTCCCAAACATAACTACTTGTACATAATATATTCTGATACTGATTTTTAAATCCAAAAGCTTAAGGAGCTTTCAAAGCTTTAAGAAAGGCCCTAAGAAAAGTCCAATAGCTTAATGAGCTTTGAAAGTTTTGCGAAAATCTTGAACATGTACATATACTTATTTAACTTTCTTAAACATTTTTAAGTTAGGTTATAGTATATTTTCATTTTTGGACATACATACATTTTTTTGCACATTTCTCTAATAATTTCTCGTTAAAATTAATTTTTACTCTCTTTCCTTTTTTCTAGCTCTACGTTAATACAAATCGCAAATGTACGCGTGTCCGGTAAATTTAGTGGAACATTCTTGAACTGAACTTAAAAGTCAACATCCGTAAAGGATACTATATAAATTCTCAACCCGAGAATATTGGAAAATGTTGGATCGTTGCGAAATGCCGGTGAGTAGAAATATATAATGAAACTCAAAAAAGGAGTAAAAAATTTGAAGAAAACCTAAAATATGTATTTTATAAATAATTTAAAAAATATTAATAATAAAGTTTTATTTAAAAGATATTTATTGAAGTAAAATAAGTCAAATATATTTTCAAATGAGAAAAGACATTTAAATCAAAATATATTGAGAAATACTGGCTGTGAAGTTATCTTTATTATGCGCAACGGCAAATTCTGAGTAGTTGGCAACTCTGCTTTCTTATATCTTATTTTCATAGCTAAAACCTAAGGTCAACCATCCTAACCTACTCAATAATAATTTTTTGAATTATTTTTTTTTTGAGATGATAGTAATTAAAAAAATACAAAGGTGGCAAGGCTGCAATTTTTTTGCAAGATACTAGGTGGCACAAACAGTTTGAAAAATAATGTTTCAAACTCATTCATATATGTATATGCGATAGATAACTGTTAGAAAATAATTGAGCATATTTTCTCAAAAAAAAGTGGCAACCCTAAATTTGCTGAAACCATTTTTTTTTATATATTGATTTTTTTTTTTTTTTGATATGGAAAAAAAACTAAAATGAGAAAAAGAACCAGAAAAAATTAGCCAAGTGGCAACCCTGGCAATAACAAATTAAACACTATCTATGCAAATAAATAAATTTGTTATGCATTACACATAATATGTCTTAATATAAGCAATGCATGTTAATTATTGAGACAGCGCCTAAAAGTAGACAACAAAAATATGTATATTCATAAATAATTGTGCTCACAAATTTCTCTCTTCTTATCTGCCTTTACAGATTCAAATAGACAACGATAAATTGCGGCGCGTCAGCGCTGTTGTCGATCGCGACAATCGCCTCTCGAATTCACGCCACGATCTGCCCAATGTGTGCAACGGGGGCGTTGCTGGTATAACGGTTGGTGGCAATGGCACAACGCGCGGCTCATCGCGCTCCAGCCGTTGCCTCGACGTGCACAACAACCTTGTGAATAACAGTCACAGCCATAGCCATCACAATGGACATCATCAGCGCAGCCCGACCAGCGGCAACAACAACAACAATAACAATAATAGCAGCAACAATAAGATTAACAACAGCAACAACACTAATACCAATAACAAAAAACAACTAAAGGCAACTGATGCGATTAGCCACAATGGCAGCAGCAACAACAATAACGGTCACAATAATTTAAGTAATCACAACAACAACATTGGTTCGCCAGTATCATCGACAACGATCTCCTCGCACGGCAACAGCACGACCAGCGGCGGTGAGCGCGGCTCATCGACCAAGTCGAACAGCAGCAGCGGCAGCGGCAGCAGCGACAATATCAAATGCAATACGCCGATGTCGCCGTCAGGTGGGTGCAAAGCAAAAAACTAGAAAAAACAAAAACAAAAAAAAAAACTTTAATTACTTGTAAGTTCCTACAATGTGCATTTGAATGTATGTGTGTGTGTGTCTGTGTGCATCAGCCTTCTGTGCCACAGTTCGTCCTTCAACTGCGCCTGTTGGTTGTATTTGTTTTGTATTAACGGTATTTATTCAAGTTCAGCTAACCATATTTGCGCTGGGCATTGAGTCTATACACGCTTGACGCTTATTTGCTTCGCAATTTCAATTGCTACACCCTCACAGTAGGCGTTCCGTTGACAACGCTAAACATTTGCGCTCTCCGTCAATGTCGACAGCGTCTGACCGGCGGCTGTGTGTGTGTGCATTTGTAAAAACCTTTTAGCGCTTCAATTTTTTGCTGGTTTGCTGAATTTTACGCATCACTGTCATTCGCAACAGCCCGAAACCCCTCACCATAGGAGTGTGCGGTTTGAAGTGTTGTATATAGAGTATGTATGTATGTATGTGTGTGACCACAAGCATTGACTCTTAGACTGCTTCGCGCCGTTGTTGCTAATTAAATTTTAAATAATTTATATTAAGGTCAAGGATGCACTGCGGCTAGAGAAATGGAAATTGAAAGCAAAGTGCAAAAAGCCTCAGAAATAAAGAAAAGCGTTTCGTAGCGCAAATGTAAGCGTGAAAAGCGCAAGTGAATATAAATTAAATAAATGCAAAGCTCGGTTGTGAGTTCATATATATTTTGTTCCCGGCCACCCTGTGAGAAAGTGTGAAAGAGATGAAATCTCAAACTAAGCGATTTTTGTTCGTTTTGGAGAATGGCTTTACTCAAAAACAAAAATAAATGCAACAGTTATGCCAAAACTTGTAGAAAAATATTTAAAATCTGTTTGGTGAGTTTCAAAAATAAACTTTCCTAAGCTTTGAAAACAAACTAACTCCATTTTATCGGTAATTTTGTGTTTAGCATTAACACTCCCCACAAACACAGAGTTTACTACAACAAAAAGTTTACTCCACTTGCCTTAAAAATCCTTTTTTGATGTTAATGAACCTTTTTTCACATAAAATATTTAGCGCATTGTTGACGTAGTTGACTCCTGTGCAAGAGTTGATAACACTATTGAGTGTTCTGCTAGTTCACCATAAAAAATATGCAGCTCGTTGTTTCACTCAAACCTTTTGCGGGTTTTCATAAGCGCTAAATCCTTAAACTCGAGTTTATGGCTCAAAAATGTGAAACTCAGTTTTCCTTAAACACTTCAATGAGAACCATTAACGAGTTTTTATAAAAGTAAATCCGTAAACTCGAGTTTATGTTCGAAAATACGAAACTCAGAGTTTCTCAAACACGCAAATGAGAACCTAAAGCGAGTGTTTATAAACATAAATACGTTGACTCGAGTATATGGTTCAAACTGTGAAACTCAGATTTTCTTAAACATTCAGATAATAACAGTTTGTGAGTTTTTATAAAGGTAAATTCTTAAACTCGAGTTTATGTTCGAAAATATAAAGCTCAAAGTTTCTCCAACATTCATTACACGAAACTTAGAGTTTCTCAAACACTCAAATGAGAACTTATAGCGAGTGTTTATAAACGAAAATACTTAAACTCGAGTTCATGGTTCAAAAATGTGAAACTCAGAGTTTGCCAAACACTCAAATAAAAACCGAAGCGAGTGTTTATAAACGAAAATTCGTAAACTTGAGTTTATGTTACAATTTAAGGTAATATTTCATTGTATTACCATCGAAACTTCTACAAAGGAAAAATAATTTTAAAGCTTCCAGCCATAGCCCGCTTTCTCAATACTTTGAGTTCCATAAGAATAAGTTAGCCCTATAAAAAATGATAGAAAAAAATGTTGTAGAAATTTCGGTTTAGCTTTAAGCTCCACAGATCCATTGGCACGAGTATATGTCTGAAAGTCAGCTTCTAATCTATCATACTTAATAAACTGATGTGAGCCTGCAACCTCTAAGAAATCGAGTATTCTTGGCTTTATGTCAGAAAATTGTTTTACAAAGAGTCTGTCTAATATACTTTTTGCCGGAAAACAGACTTTCGATAAAAAAAATTTAACTTTAAAGCTTGGTTCAGCATAGTCTTAGAAATTAAGGCATTTTTAATTCTAATAGAGGCTTTGAAATCGATTAACTCGTTTTAGTAACAGGCAGAGAGAAACAAATTTTGCTGAAACTATACAAGTATAATGTCTGCGTTCCTTACCACTTCTGAAATTATACCACATGCTAGTGTAAATTTCAAGCTTTCACAACCCCTAATAGAAAAAAAAATTTCTAGAATTTTAAATTTCAGAAGTAGTTTTAAGTTATGTAAAACGCATATACCTTAACCGTTATTTTATATACAAATTATATGTAAGTCAAAAAACGCCGACTTAGCTTAAAACCTCGATGAACTCAACAAAAAAACAGCAGTTCCATTACATTTTCTATAAAGTTCTAAAAAGAATCCTTTCCTACATTAAACCAACAATTGCAATGTCAGCAAATTTCCTTTAAATTTGTCCAAGGTCAGCCATTAGGCACGTGGTATTTTACTGTTGCTTTAAATAAATAAAAAATAAAATATTAATTAAACCACTTTTCGCAATGTTTTGATTGCTCGACGCAGCCACAAGCGTTGAGTGGCAGTAGACGAGAGTGTATATGTTATATAACGAATTTTACCATATCAAAAAAAAAAGTGTTCAACTTTCTACTTTCTAATATAGAATATTATATTATATAAGTGAATTCCCCATTGACATACAGGGCACACGGGTATACATGGATTTGTTTTATTCATACTCAACCGTGTACAAATGGATTAACGGTGTAAAAATAAATTGAAAATTTGTGTTTTTATTATTTTTTTTTACACTTCGTATTTAAAAATGCAAAGAGGAAGAGGATTGGTGCTAACCCGTAGACTTGTTGTGAGCTGTTGTATGAAAGTTATGTGTGTGTATAGGTTTGTGCGAGTGTGCAACTTTGAAGGACAGCAAGACTCAAAGCAAAAAGGAGGGAATGCAATACAAAGGCGCATACACGCATTGAAGTTGAGTTGAAAGCATACACAGAATGCGTGAGCAGATATTTTAAATGAGTGCAATGCAATGCATATGTCTATATGTTAATGTGTGTGCGTGCAAAGTGTAAACTGCAAAGCGTGCATTTTTAATTAATGCTAAATTTATTTTAATGTTTATTTCATTTGCTGCGATACTATATATGTATGTATGTCAGCTGTTTATGTTAATGCAATTTTAATGGAAAATAACTTTTTTTTTTACTCAAAACACGTGATTTTAGTTCAGATTAATTAAATCAAGTGTTGAATTTTGATATTAAAAAAATGTTTACAGGTTAATTATGCACAAATATCTTTATGACTTTCAAATATTGATCTTTAGTGGCTATTAAATTTGTCTTTTGAATATTTTTTTGATTAAATATATACATAAATTTTTATGACTTCAAAATAGGATTCTTTAGACATGTTTAATTCCATAATTATATCAATAATCATTTACAGTTTAATTATATACAAAATCTTTTTACCTTTGAAATAATAGTTTTTAGTCACGATAAATTCTGTAGCTTTATGATTAATCATTTGCAGATTATTTATGAGCAAAAATTTTCAAGAATTTCAAATTCTATGATTAATCATTTCCAGATTAATCATGCACAAAATATGTATATACGAATTTCAAATAATGATTTTCAGTCATGATTAATTCTGTAATTTAGTGACTAATCATTTGCATTTCATTAATTATGTACAAACTGTTTCAAAACTTTCAAATAATGATTTTGAGATTAGAGAAATCAGATTAGACGCAATTAATTTAATGATTTTGTGATGAATTAATTAAATTTTCATTATTTTACAAAAGTCAAATCATCTCAACATTTAAGTAACATTTATGAGATTAAATTTATATGACTTTAATCACGATGAATTTCGTGATAAAGAAGATCTCTAGTCACGATTAGTTTTTTGACATTTTTTGCTAGTCCTGATTATTTAACGAATGCTATTCAAAAATTCATATAACTCACTAACTATTTGGTAAACTAATTTTAATAAAAAAAAATTTATTTAATTCAAATTAGTTGAGAATCTGAATAAGTACTAATCTTAATGCCGTAAATTGTTCGCAAAACAAATTTCTTCCGACTTATTAGAAATAAATATTTTAATTATGATTAGTTTAAGAAATTAATTCCATCAATTTCCACATTTAAATCACAAGAAATTGCCTTTTATCAAGTTTAATCTAACATTATAATAACAATTAGGAACAAAGCCAGATGATTTAAGCTTTTGACTTGCATGAAATAGTCATGATTTATTTTAAACAAAATAAGCTGATTCTGAATTAATTAGTTATTTCAGTTACTATTTTCTGAATCTATAAACTTAGGCTTAATTAAAAATCTATTTGACAATTATTGACTAATCATTCATAGAACAATTTAATCGTTAGTCTAAAACAATCTCAGTCTTCATTTATGTAAAATAGTAAAAGGCTATGAATTTTAAAAATATGAAAAAGCTAACTATCCATGACTGTTAATCAATCAGGGATGAATTAAGCATGTAAGTTCTTAAGGTTCTGATGAAGTCTTTTTTAAAATTGAATAAATATTAATTGAATAAAAATTAATTAAATTAACACTACTATAAGTAATATGTAAATATCTTTGCTTCCAGATCTCCTCATGAAATACCGCAAATATTTGACTGATGTGGAGCAAGAAGAACTGAAGGTATATAAAGAGGTTTGGTATTTTGGACATAATGCCACTAAAAATTTCAATAAAACCACAACGAATGGTACAGCCAATTTGGGCTTCGATGATGATAATGGAAATTATAAAATTGTGAGTATTAAACAATACACAAGCTTACGAATTTTTTTGACGAAACACTCTTCACTCGTTCGCACAGATCATACATGATCACATTGCCTTCCGCTATGAGATACTCGAAGTGATCGGTAAGGGTAGTTTTGGTCAAGTTATACGCGCCATGGATCACAAAACCAATACATATGTGGCCATTAAGATTATACGCAATAAGCGGCGTTTCCTCAATCAGGCTGTGGTAGAATTGAATATATTAGATGAATTGCGTGAAAAGGATGCCGATGGATCTCATAATGTTATACATATGTTGGATTACACATATTTCCGCAAGCATTTGTGCATTACATTCGAGTTGTTGAGGTGAGTAAAAGAGCTATTTGCGAAAATATGATATTTTAAACTAAGAATAATTTCGAGATAAGCAAATAAAAAAATTCGGGGCCCCACTTTTAATAATAAAATTTTTAAAATATGTGTGTTTATTTGAAAACTATTTTATTTACGAAAATATAAAATTTTAAATCCAAAATAATTTCGGGATTAGCAAGTAAAAAATTCGGGATCCCGAAACTTTGCATATTTTAAATATAAAATTATTTGTATTTTTTGTAAAATACTTTATTTGCGAAGAGAGAAAATTTTTTAATTAAAAATAATTTCGGGATGAGGAAGTGAATAATTCGGAATACCGAAATGTTTCAGATTTTTTTTTTTAATGATTAGCACACAGTTCTTCTTTAAGTTAAATTTTTATGCCAGTGCTCGTAATAACATTATCAGCATTATAATTATGAACACATTTTGAAAACATGTAGGAATAAGTAATTTTTATCATAATACATATTTTTGAAATTAAATCATTTGGACCTAATTAGTCCCATCCAGTTGCAAAACATTGCGTTTTATATTTGATACTAAATATCTTTGTGCGTCAAAAGCCATACAGCAAAAATTTCGCAATCCCGAAAATTTAATACCGAAATTTCGGGATTCTTAAATAAAAGTTTCAACTTTATTTTGCTTAAAAATTATTATGAAAATATTATTAAATAAAATTATTTATTTACATCTATTTAACATCAGTCGTATCACACTTACCTCATTTAATTGCTAACGCAACAAAAGTGCTATTTCCGTTCTTGCCACAACGAATTTGCAGTTTATTTCCGTCGCCTAGAAGAAAATAATGCATAATTTATTAAGGTCATTAAACAAGACGGCATATACGTCTATGCATTGAAATTACTTCATTAGTGCAAAGTTTGGCCACCCCTGCTTTCAAAGAAAAAAATATGCAAAAAGAAACCAAATTTTTTTATAATTAGTGGTATTAGTAGACTTATTGTTTTTGTTTATTTCGTAAGTGTGGAAGTTGTTGTATTTTGAAAGTTTGCGCAATTTGCGGACAACATTTCTCATCAGCAAGTACATGTCAAGTGCACAAGAGGCCTAATAAAGTTTAAAGTTTTTTCATATGCCCACTTTTGCCGTCTGTAGTTGCTGAGAAGGCTATCCATAGCTCCGTATAGTTATATAAGAACCGTAATTTTTCATATACGTAAGCATTTACTTTTTGCATCTGAAGCTTGCGTTACGTTAAAGTGTGAACAGAAATGTTGTGGAAGGCCATTTATTGACATTATATGACATTTGGCTAAGAAAACTTTTTGGTATTGTATACATGAATGTGTTTATGTGTTAGTTGGAATACATATTTATTTATGTAAGGGTGTTAGTACACTTGATTTTTCGAAATTGTGTAAGCATACAGATAGCTTTACCCAAATCTCATACCAACTATTAAAGTGCTTTGCTTTTCTGCACTTATTTTCTGTACATACACACATTTATTGTACATACACACATATTATTTAATAACTATGTAGATTTGTATGCGCATATACGCTAATATTTTTGGAGAGTGAATGCTTCATGCTGTGCGGAAATTGCTGCATTATGTTATATAATTTTCTCTCTCTCTTATAATTTTTTTTATTGCATGCAATTTTTTATCGATAGTTTTTTCTTTTCTCTTTTTATTTCTCCTTTGGAGGTTCGGTGTTGTTGTAGCAATTGCGTGCTTTGTGACAATTGTGTACGCACATTAATAATACATGAAATTTTTATTTATGGCATCAGCATACATACCTACATACGAGTATGTATATAAAATAAATAAATGTTTGGACGCCTATTAGTATTCTATACCCTTGTTTCTACTTTTTGCTAGTTGTTCAAGCATAAAAATGCTATATATACTCATGTTTCTAAATGTCTTTCTAATCGAACTTTATTGAGTGTTCTATTAATTTAATGACCTGACAATGTCGCATGCAAGAAATATACAAAATAATTTTTATGCGTTATTAATAGACGACTATGGCGTCAAGATGTGCGCCAAGTAATATTACTTATGCAAAAATTTGCTTTCTTAAACCAAATCAGCATATGTTAACACTAAGCGAATTGCATTGGCAACTTCAGAGCTGCTGAGAATCACCAAAGCCATTTGAAGAACCTTTACAAAAGCTTGTTTCACTCATAGCACCAAATTTTTATGCTGAATGCAATTGTCACAACTGTTTTATATGCAAGCTTAAATCACTAAACCCCTAATCCAATAAAAATCTTTATATCCCTAAGGTTCTGCCTTTTCTACGAGAGAGAAAAAATTACATCAAACAGTTGCTTTTTCGACTGCTCACAGCACTTTACATCCTTTACCCCACACCTGCTTCAACTACCTTGAACTAATTCAAATGTCAAAAGCGAATTTCAAAGTTTTGCTGCTCACTTTCAATCGAACCGCCAACTGTCTGTCTGAGTTGCTTCCGTGTGTTTCCCGATTGTGGTGGCTTTTTGGTGGCACGTTTGCGCGCTACTTCCCCAGCGCATTGTTGTAAACAAATGACGTACGACAATGTGGCATGTAGCGTGCGAGTTGCAGTCATTTGCGTATGCCAATAAATACCCAGCAACAAATTATTTTAAGTTTTGGACTGGTCCGAAACTAGTTCTATACGGTGTAGTACCGGTTTTTTATGCAATTTTAAGCAGATAATGCTTAAGTTAAACTTTTATGTTTATACGCATATTATTTGTGAACGAAATAATAGAGCGTCACCAATTTTAAATAGTAGACCCGTTATTCTAATAAGTATGCCTTTCGTCCTAATTCTGATACTAGTTTAATAGTACTCCGATTGTTGCTAACTCTTAGAGGAATACTCTTAAATTTCTTACTTCTCAAATATGCATATAAGTGTTTACCTAACTACTTTATTGCGTTTTGTTGCCTCACTCACTTTGCGGTTCCCGTTGATTAACTTACTTCAGCCACTGCTGTATTTGTATGAAAATTTTAAAGTTCGCAACTTGTCGGTTGGTGGTTGCACTGTGCCTTGCACCGTGCTGCCTGTGCTGCCAAATCAGCGTCACTCGCAATCGCAAGAAAGAATGTAAAGCGCGCATTTTGCGTGTACGGAACTAAGTCGCATAGCCGGCATGAAGTAGTACGAATAGTTGGAGCGCGGCTTGTTGACAAATTTTTTTTTCGGGTGCAAATGACTCTTGTCGTTTTTGTTTTCAATATTTACTGCTACTCAACAATTTTGTGGGCTTCCACTTATCAACAATTCAATCGCGACAAGCAAATAAGTCAGCGAAATGACGTCGCTCTTGATGGATGTGTTGGCAGCAGGCGTTGGTGTGGGGCGCGTGGTGGTTGTTTTGGCCATGACCGTGGTAGTGCACTTGCTGCTCGCTTTACAGCCGCTGCGTTTGTGAGCTCGCAGGCACTTAATTGGTGCATGTTGCATGTTGAAAGTTGAAAAACTATTAGCTCTTAATTTTATTGTATTTGCTTGCGGGTTTTCATAAATTTTTAGTTGCAAAAATATTAATGGATTTGTTAGTAGGATTCAATAAAACCTTGAAAACGTATACTTAAAATATATATATATATAAATATATATATTATATATGGGGTTCAAATCAAGAAAGCATCTGAAAAAAATTTGCTGTTAGTATTTTTTAAAAATTTTACTGCATTCTTCCAATAAGTTTGCGGATAGTGCAGTCTTTCGAGCTGATTCGCGTATATTTCATTCATTTCACTTTTTCCGCTGAAATTCTCACTAAATTTAACTAAAAAGTTGACATATTTCATTCACTCACTATTTGTTCATGTAATTCTCAACAAATTTAATTAAAAAATTATTAAAGTTGCAGATCGCTTATTAGAAATTTTGACGAATTTAGCATTTCTGCATGTGAAAGAATCATAACATAAGCTGTTCTAAAATAATCATCAGGTCCATGGTTTTGAACATTTTACGGTTTTTACGATAGTCTCAAGTGATTGGATAGGCCTTAGATGGTGGTTGGGAGAAAACTTACATACAAGTTATCATCTGACAAAATTTTACCCGGACTGATGATAAAAAATTTTTTTCACGTATTTCAATACCTCTATAGCCTTATGGCTCAAATATTATCTAAGACCCCGAATATGGGCAGTTTTGGGAGCAATATTTATACTGATTCATATTATTTCTGAGAAAAAAATCTTACTAGCTAACTAACTCTAGTTCATAGAATTATAGGTATTCAAAGTCTCTGCTGCAATTTCAGCTTTTCTGGCCGTTAAAGAAGAAAACAATTTATATTTTCTTAACCGAACCCCTTTCCAGCTTATCTAACTCAAATCGCAATCACGCCGAATTACCGAACATATGCGGTAACTGTAATTTGTACCGAACACCGAATGGCTTCCGCTTGCTCTCGTCATTAGAAGTCACACCACCAATTATACTCTTACAATTTTTTATGTGTGTATGTGTGTGTGAATGTGTGTAAAAACCGTTTTTATATAAAATGTCAAACTTAATTGCTGGGCGTATTGTCGGTGCATGCGAAACTGCAATTAAAATTATGACTGCAAATGAAAGCCGCCAGCCAAAAATTAGCTTTATGAAATTGTCAAAAAAAGCCCTCTAAGTACTAAAAAGCTAAAAATGAAACGAAAACTTTCAACATTTGTGGATTTTTCAAATTACGCCTACACTTAACCCCGAACAAGCGCACCCACACGCCTACAAGCGAAACCATATCGAAAACCAACATTAAAAAGTTTGCGCCTAGAAGCAGGCAACGCGCTTTTATGACTTTCAGCAGCAACAAAACGCGAAAATAAGATATTCTGACCTTCATTGCTCGTCGTAAAATTACACTGACGACGCCAATATTTAGTCATATGATTTTATAATTACGAAAAAGAGACAAAAAATACCGTTATTTGACTTTAGCATACAAGCAGGCGCTTGCTCTTTACACACTGCGGCAAAAACGGTATATATTTT